TTTAAATAATTATATTGAAGTTTTCGGCTCTTGTTTTGAAACATGAGAACTCTTATGTAGCGTTGGAATCATATTTTTAAACAAATAATTATATTTGTGCTCTACTTTTGTATCGAGCACTATTTTTTAAAAATAATAACAAAAATACTAAAGAACTTTGGATTATTTACCTAACGAGTTCTTTCCTATTTTCTATATATATTTTAACACACACACACACACACATATTTATATATATATATATATATATATATATATATACGTTCGATTTCTGACCATGACACCCGGTTTCGAACAGCGTGCGACACCTTTTGAAAATGCCTGAAAGTCATATCACGAAATTGATATTGATTGAAATTGGGTAGCCGAAAGTCTTGTGGGCCGTTGATAGTTGTGCTAGCACGAAACCGCCAGTCATCGTGGCCAAGGGCTTGAGCGTGCTGGCCTTGTTCAAATGGTGGAACACCTTAGATAACATGCTCTTTCCCAGAAACTGTAGCTAACATCTGGTCAGTATAGTTGCAGTATAAACCACGGGTAGGCTCTGTGGGTGTTGAGTAAACGCAAAAATGTGCCTAAGCGAGCGTCAGGGATTGGCTAGCCACCCCAGTAGACGGGTATCCTCGAATACAGTGGCCAGCTATTATATATATATATATATATATATATATATATATATATATATATATATATATATATATATAATACCAATTTGAAATTGGTAGAGATAATTCCGAGGAGGACATTAATCTAAAGGAGAGCTCAGTGTAAGTTACAGAGCAATATAATGATGAATCAAATAAAATAATATTCATGAGATAAGTTATAGCCGATATGGATTTTTAAGGTTTTTCTTGATTTATCATTATATAGATATATTGGGTTGGTGCACAATTATCAGGCGTTTTAAAACGGTATTTATTATGAAAAAAGAAACATAACAATTCAACAATAACATTTTAAATGAGTGTGGTTATCGACACACATTTTTATAACCTGAAAATAAAAAAATATTTTTATTAAAAAAAGTTAACAAGACAGCAATTTTTATTAACAAATAACTCGCCTACAAAAACGCCTGATAATTATGAACCAACCCACTATATATATATATATATATATATATATATATAGCCAAACTTTCCCTGACGATCCGTTTAGGTGAAACCTAGGTAGGTTTTTCTGGCTTACTAGGTGTATCTAGGTCTGCTCTACGGTTGTATTGAGCTCTTTTGTTAGTTGTTTACTCGTATCGGGGTTTTTTCTTTGGGCTTCAGACCTGGATCTGTGCGATCTTTTGTCGACAGAAGTTCATGTTTGTAGCTCTTCCTTTTTTTAAAACTTTTTTCCCTCGAGATTGATTTGATTAGCAAATCAAAAATTCGAGGTTTTTCGAAACAGTCTAGTTATCTATCTATATATATATATATATATATATATATATATATATATATATATATTGGCTATTACAGGCTAGCTAATCCCCGTGCAGATAACCTGCTGACACATTAGTGTTTGTGAAAACACACAGAGCATACCGTGGTTTATACTCAACTATGCTGAGCAGACCTTAGTTAAAATATCTGGGAGAGAGCGTGTAATCTAGCGTGATCAGCAATCTAAACATGGCTAGCACACTCAAACCCTCGGTCACGATGACTTGAGACTTCGTGCTAGCAAAACCGTCGAAGCCTCATAATTGGTTCCGTCTACCCAATTTCAACCACAAGGCTTGGGCCAAACCGTGGTATCGTTTTCAAGCACTTTCCAAAGGTGCCGCACGCTGGGATCGACCCCCTCCAGACCGGTAACATCAAGAAGCCGCCTTCTTGACAAATCAACATTGTCGATATTCGAACTCGGGCCTCTTGGTCATAAGGCGAACGCTCTAACCACTCGTTCTATATACAGGTGCGATGGATAAATTGTCGTCTAAACTGTGCAAAAAATGAAACTAATACTTGCATCACATTTTAGCTGATATACTTGCCAAAATGACATAAAAATATCTTGAAATACTAAAGAGTATATATATATATATATACACAAACACATGGTGCGATGGGTAAATTGTCGTCATTTTATATTATTCATTTCCCGCTTGCCCATTGTTTATTTTGACTTTGTCGACTGTGCAGTATAATAGTGTCAGCTGGTCACTGTCAGTGAGAAAAAGAGCACCATGATGCTATTCATTCTGTCAGAAATTTGAAAACGGCATGCTCTGCTGAATTCATCTTCTACATTCGCGCAGCAAGCAGCATTACGAATCTTTCATAGGACAGTACAAAGGATTCCGAAATCTTTGGATGATTCTAATGGTGATTAAAAGTGATCCCTAGTGATGGTGAAGTTATGCCTACATTCATCATCCCACAGGAACTCAGACTCAACACGGAGGCCTACATTAAATGCCTTGAGGAGGTACTGCTACCTTAAGTCAAGTTCGTGGCTGCTGGAAGACCCCATGTTTGTCAACATGAATCTGCACCATGCCACACAAGCAGGAGAACCAGTCATGTATGTCCCTATTACCTCTTACATCTGACCACCTAACTCATCAGACTGCAACCGCGTTGCTTATTATGTGTTGGGCGCAGTTGAGCTCCTTGTAACATTAAAGATTAACTTAAAGCTAAGATTATGGCAGCATTCAACGAGGAGACCGAATAGAAGGGCTGTAGAAGATTCCGAAGTAATCTGGAGGCCATCGTTGAAGCCAATGGCGATTTTATTGAATAAATTTACCCTTTAGTATTTGAAGATATTTTGGTGTAATTTTGGTAAATAAATTAAAATGAGATTTCAGTGTCATTTTCATTTTTCCGTAATTTTGACGACATTTTATCCATCACACCCGGACACACACACACACACACACACACACACACACATATATATATATATATATATATATATATATATATATATATATATATAATACTTATTATAAAAGCCAGGTTGTGTGTCTGTGTGTGTGTTCATTCTATATTGGATCAAATTTCCTACATTTTCAACCGATTTCAACAAAACTTCACAGGACTACGTAAAATTACCTTGCGGTGGTTCTGACAGCGCCAAAATTGGAAAACACAATTGTTTTTGCACGAAATCAATTGGAAACACGATTAAGAGGCATCGCTGTCGCGAGAATAAAGAGGGCAACTCATATCGAGTTATACTTATTATAAATTCCAGGTTGTGTGTGTGTGTGTGTGTGTGTGTGTGTGTGTGTGTGTGTGTGTGTGTGTGTTTCGTTTATATATAGGATCGGTTTCCTACATTTTCAACCGATTTCAACAAAACTTCACTTTTTTTTTTTTTGGCAGATAGTGTTTCTTATTGTCTTGCACACTTTTTCTTTATTTTTACATTCAGAATGCTTTAAAAATTCCATTTACAAGACAATTGTTTATAATAAAATTCTATTCAATCGATAGACTCATAACGATTGAAAACAATGTTTTTGTTTGAGTTTGGGTTTGACCAATTCGTAAAAAAAAAAAAAAAAAACTAATTAAGACATGCGTGTCCGTCAACCTTAAACAATAATCTTTGTCAATTTTATTTTTCAGTCTTTATGATGGTCGATACTTGATCTATCTCTTACTGCTACATCTCCGGGCAACGCCGGTCTCTACTGTACTACTACTGTACTGATGCGGCATTCACCCTGGGCGGATTGAGCCGGTTTCTTCCTGTTATGAGAAGAAGATTCTTGGGATAAATTACAGAAGTAGGATAACGTTCTTGCTTGCCGCGGGGTTCCCACAGACGCAGAGACAGGAACGACCAGAAGCCGCCGGTTGCCGATGCAGACGCTCCTTGGATTTTTACCAGGGCTCTTGTTAGCCGGCGTGTGTGTCAGACCTGTCCGCCTTGGGTGGCCCTACTAGGAACGAAGTTCCGGGCGGCATAGCTCTGACACTACCGTTTACAGCCCCCCCCCACCGACTGAGAGGTAAGGGTTGGACTTTGGGGGCTTACAGTACCAGGTGTTCCCAAGCGGTCCCCCGTCTAAGTACTGACCTGGCTCTACGATGCTTAACTTTGTTGATCGAACGAGAACCGGTGTTTTCAGCGTGATTTGACCGTAAGTCTCTACTGCTAGTATATATATATATATATATATATTCGAGCTATTTTAAGAGAATATGTACATTTTGCCTTTTCTATTTAATAAGACATATTACTATATATACAGTATATATTAATATATCTGTTATTATATATATATATATATATATATATATATATATATATATATATATATATATGTGTGTGTGTGTGTGTGTGTGTGTGTGTGTGTGTGTGATTTCCCAAAAAATTTCGCTTGAAGATGGAACAGAGCTTGGTACTTCAATTCAATTTAATTCAAATAATTATATTGATGTTTTCTGCTCTTGTTTTGAAACATGAGAACTTTTATGTAGCGATGGAATCATATTTTTTAAAAATAATAATTATATATATATATATATATATATATATATATATATATATATTAATGATAAAGGTACAAGGAAGCGACGTTATAACGATGGCAAACTGACTGGAGCCGTGATGCCAGGTCAGAACCAATAACATTGCAGATTCTTTTTTTATTTTAACAAGACTTTTGAATTTTTGATGCAAAATCTGCACTGCGTAGCTTTCGTTCTACGCGATTGACGTTCACTAGTGTATTAAGTGCAGTGACAAATAAGGAGATTAAGCTTTCAATTAATATTTGCCATGTAATGTAAGTGGTTTTTGCATTCTTAGCCTGACTACTTCTTACTATGCCCACTTAGAACGCTGATTTTCCATTATTGCATTTGTATTTATGCCGAACTAAGCGACCGTAAGTAAAGATCAAGAGGAGAAATGGCACGCTGGAAAGATTTGTGAACCGGTCAATGCAGGCACAAGTTCATTAGTCGTTAATTGGTGACGGAATGTTAATGAGTTTAATTATCATGAACTTGGCTTATCTTATACTTTCGCTTCAAGGAATGTACTTAACGAACGAACGATAGATAGATAGATAGATAGATAGATAGATAGATAGATAGATAGATAGATAGAAAGGACTTATGTGAATTAGCTGAAATAGGTAGAAAGAAAGAAAAAAGAACATATGTATCAATTAACTTAGATAGAAAGAAAGAAAAAAAGAAAGGACTTATGTACGAATTAACTGAGACAGACAGACAGACAGATAGATAGATAGATAGATAGATAGAAAGAA